TCCTTTGGGATTTTGAGGATGGAAGCTCACTTTCTGCAGTTGGTTGAGCTTTGGCGACCAGCACTTCCAGAAATGCTTCGACCAATTGGACAAATTAGGCCCCACAGATGAGATCCCCGAGTACAACGAGATGGGCGTGAAACTTTTTGCCATTTTGGCCTCGTACCTGAAGGGCAGGTGCCTTAGCCTCCAAGAGCAAGGACGGTTCCAGGTTGTGGCGCTCATTGGTCCAAGAGTATGAGCTTTCTTCAAGACAGCGTTCTTTGGCTTTGGCACAGGCCCTCAGCAACTACCGGGCCTTCACCAATGCGAAGACGATCATGGAACAGATCCTAGCATATTAGCAGCTGGTCCAACAGTTCGCAGATGCTTCCCCATCAACATATCCCGCCGAGCTGAAGATTGCAACTCTTGTGATGTGCAGTGGAGAAAAGTTGAGGAAGTACCTGCAATTGACCATGAATGAGCACACCAGCGCACAGTTGAAAGAGACGATGATGGGCTATGACAAAGCATGTCGTGCCTGGACACCTGAGTGTGTCCTGAAGTCATTGCAGGGGTCTACCTCTTCTGACCAAGGACCACAGCCAATGGAAGTGGATCGCATTGAAACAAGGCAAGGGGGAGCACGAAGGCAAGAACAAGGACAAGGGCAAGAGCTGGTGGAACTATGGCAGTTTTGGTTCAGGAGCTTTTGGAAGAGGACGTGGCAAACGCCGAGGTCATGGTAACAAAGGCAAGGGGAAAGGAAAGGCCAAAGGAAAATCCAAGCCAAAAGGCAAGGATTTCGGCAAGAAAGGCAAAACAAGGGCAATGTGGACTCCCAGCAGTGCAGAATTTGTTTTGCGCATGGGCATTGGTCACGTGAATGTCTTAACAGGATGGTTCAACAAGTTGTTTCAGGTGATCCTGCTCAACTTCCACAAGTACCAATTCAACCTGCTGCTGGCCAAGGAATTCAACCTCAAGTTCGACAATCCCCCCAATCCAGTTATCCCTCTTCTACATCAGCTTCAACTGCGCGCAGAACCTTCACAATCCCTATGGGAGCGCCTAGGTTGACAAGTTCTCAGGTACTTCAGTGAGAATGGTAAGCTCTGGTGAGGAGTTTGACAAGGATGTGGTGATTTTGGACAGCGGCTCAAATGTCTCGTTGTTGCCATTGTCCTATGGCCAATGTGGTGCACATACAGTTCGATCAGAAGATGTGCAGCTTCGTGATTGCCAAGGTTCACATTTGAAAGTGACTGGCTACACAACAGTTTCTTTGGTTGTGAAAGATGGTGATGGGACCGAGGCTGAACTGGAGCATGTGTTCCTTATTGCAAATGTGAAGAGCTGCATTCTTTCATTGGGACAGCTTTACCGCAATGGATGGTGTGTCAAGCAGATGGATGATGGCTCAGGTCCTTATCTGAAAAAAAGTCCTGACCGTGAACTTCGCGTCCCAGTGAACTATCAACGCAACAGTTTGGCCATGAATGCAACAGTTTGTCGTGTAGAACGAGTTGAAGATGAAGATATGCTGTCGCCACATGTCTATTTCAGGGCCATCATGGAGCTGGAGGACAGGCTTAGGCCTGAAGAGCCCTGAAACAACAGCTGGCAAGTGTCTGATGGGAACCCATACATGTGTTGTGTCAGCACCCACTTCGTGGATCCAAGACCTACCTGGGCTGGCAATTTTGGCTTCAGAACCACGTTGGTACAGAAAAGATCGACAGCAGAAGAAGATCATCATTGGTTGGCATGTTGTGGAACTGAGTTCCAAATACCTGGAACTTGATGATCCTTTTCGCCCCATTCCAGATCTTGAAAGTTATGCACAAGGTGAAGATGTCATTGTGCTCACAATTTTGTCTGAACGAGATGAAGCTTTGGCGCATTTTGGTGGTTTGTTGGATGTTGGTGGCTATGCGATGGAAGAGCCCTATGAGCTGGAATCTCCCTATCCAGGTGAAGCTGAAGATGTTTTGCCCATTGAAGATCAACCCATTTCTTGACGAAGGGCGTGATGACATCATGGGGCGTGACATTCCTGAGCATCAAGCTATTGCCCTAGCACTTCGAGAAGATGCTGAAGCTGAAGCTATCGTGGTGAATGATGTACAGGTGACACCCAACAGTTCAGTTGAGATTCTTAGGAGCTTCAACGGCTGGTTCCAAAAGGAAGACCTACAATCGCATTCCTGAATCCCATGTTTCCTCTCTTCGTCGTTGTACGTGGAGAATTCAAAGCAATGCAACCCCATCCACAATATCAAGACGCTCCAGCACAACCCACAGCCAGGGAGAGGAAGTTGCATGAGGTGACACATCTCCCTGTCAAGAAGTGGTGCAGCCTTTGTGTCCAGTCCAAAAGCAGGACAAATCATCAAAAGCCCACACCTCCTGATGCTATGGCGCAAGGAATTTTTCGTACTCTGCAATGTGATTTTTACACAGCTTCTGGAAATTTGAACGTGTTGATCATGATCGATTCCTGGACAAAGTTCATTGCAGTTGAGCCTTTGCGCAACAAACTTCAGTCAGTGGTTGGAGGTGCAGTTGCAAGGTTTTTGGGCGGGTTGAGTTACTATGACCAGGTGGAGATGGCTTTCGACAATGAACCTGTGCTTGCTGCAGGCATGAGAGTTGCACAGACAATTAGAGCAGCACAGGGGCTTCCAACGACTCTCCAACCTGGACAGATCTATGCAAAGGGCCGTACCGCACTTGCAGGAAGGAGCATCCAAACAGTTCGGGCCCAAGGCAAATGTTTGATCCATTTGGAGGACAAGATGAGGCTGAAGTTTCCAGGTGATCACCCACTCAGAGCATGGTCAGTCACCCATGGCGCATGGCTGCTGAAGAGCTATCATGTTGCTTCCTCAAGAGGAACGACAGCCTTCATGAGCCTACGTGGCCGTCCTTATCGTGGACGTATCTGTGCCTTTGGTGAGGAGGGTTTTCGCCTTAGATAATTTGCAGGAAAATTATTCGACACAATGGCGTCGTGGAATCTGGTTGACCAAAGATGCAGCAGATATGGATGTGGTGGCTGTGTCAGAGAATGACAGCATTCGAAGCAGGGCTATCAGAAAGGTGGCTGAGCATTGGAATGCTGAGTTGGCCATGGTGCTCACAGTTGGACCCTGGGATATGCGTCGTGGTGTTTACGCAGAGGTGAAGCATGTGAACCCGCCTGAGTCTCCTATGCCTCTTTGGCATGCCCCCATTGGTGGCGTTGAACCGGAGTTTGATGAGGATGAGAAGGCAGTGAGAAAGTATGCCAAGGAGAACCCCATGGAGGACTTGGAGGAGACAGAATATGTGGAGAGATCAGAGGTAGGTGGGGCTTCAGCCAATGCTCAACAGGCAATTCAGCCTGACCAATCCAGTGAACAACACGTGATGGGTGATGCAGGAGCTCTTGCACGAGCAAAACGACAAGGAGATGATGTACGTCTTCCCATTCCTGTTCGGCAACCCGGGGCAGAAACTGAGGCAGTGAAGAGATCACAGCAATCTGAAGATGATGTGCAGATGAAGTTTGTGAAGTTTGACCCAGATACTGCAGTGATTGAGCCAAGTCCCAAGCAGCAAAGGACTTCTCTCTACAGCCCCGTCTATGCAGGTGACATTTCAGGCAGTCCAGCGACCTCTTCAACAGCAAGACATGTGCGCAGAATTGTGGAGGAAATCGAGCTCTATGATGATGAGCTGGAATGCAACATTGCCGATGATTCCTTTGATTGGGAACTTTGTGAGCACAGCGTGACTTTGAGGGTGAGAAGGTGATGATTCCACAAGATGAGAAGCAGGAAAGAATTCGGAAAGAATATTTTTCGATGAAGGAGCTGGTCCACCGAAGATCACAGATGATGAGCTGGCATGGTTAGATCAAGAAGCTATGCAAGCTGAATTGAAACGTCTTCGAAAGCTTGATGTGATTGAAGATGTTCGAAAAAGACCTTGTGGTGGAGGAGTGCATGAAGTTGGACACCCGACTAGTGAGAGATTGGCATGTTCGTGAAAACCAATGGTGTCGACGTGCTCGACTAGTTGCCCGTGAGTTCAGAGATGGTGACGCAAGCAGCTATGAAACATTCAGTCCCACAACACCGGTGGCAGTAGTCAAGATGTTGATCGTGATGAGCCTTCTACATGGCCTTGCCACTGCATCAATTGATGTTGGAGATGCTTTTCTTCAAGTCCCACAAACTTCTCTGGTGCTCATTGAAGTTCCTTTGTGGGCGTTGCGTGCAGGTGATTGTGGAGAAGGAAAACAATTTTGGGTATTGAAAAGATGCCTACCAGGCCAAAGAGTGGCGGCTTCAGAATGGAACAAGTTCTTCACGGAGATTTGCGAGAGCCACCATTTCGAGAACTTCCAGGGCACCATCTTCAAGCACAAGAAGCAGATGGCCTACATCTCGGCCCACATCGACGATTTGCTGGTGGTTGGATCCAAGAAGTACATCAACAGTTTCTACAAGGAATTGTCCAAAGAGCAGAACTTGAAAATCGAGGGACCACTTCAGCCTGGCATGGAGATGATGGTAGCATTTTCTATTTGAAGCGTGAGTTGCAGTTCACTGAGGATGGCATTGATGTCACACGAAGCTCAAGGTACATCCCCAGGTTGGCTGAGCTTTTGCACGTGGCTGACAGGAGAGAAAAAACCGTTCCTCATCATGCATGTTTGCAAATCCAGGATCCAGAAGCTACATCTGAAGATCAATACCTCAGTCCCGAGAGCCAAGAGCGCTGTGACATCCAGCACTCAGTTCGAGTGTTAGCAACATACATGGCGCGACCAACAAAGACAGCCATGGGTGCCATCAAGAGGCTGACAAGCTACTTGGTCTACTCCAAAGACATGAAGCTTCACTACCCATAGGTGGAGATGCATCAGACCACAATGCAACGTTGGTATGGTGGAGAAGAACGACGTGCTTGAGCTGTACAGTGACAGCGATTGGGCATCATGCGAAGTGAGTCGGAGAAGTACCAGTTCAGGGCTGATCTTTTTCAACTCCTGCCTGATTCACAGACATTCCAGGTCACATACTTCAGTGTCTCTGAGCTCAATGGAGGCAGAGATTCTGGCAGCAACCAGTTTGCCGACAGAGGCGATCTATGTGAAACAGGTGCTGCAGTTCCTTGTGGGTGACAATGGTGGCTTTGGAAACCAGGAGAATGTGATGATGCGGCTTCGTTTGGATTCCACAAGTGCCCAGGCATTCTTTTCACGTTTGGGTCCTGGGAAAGCAAAACATCTTTCTACGAGACTTTTGTGGACTCAGCAGGCTATGCAAAAGCAGTGGTGCTACATCGACCGCATTTCGACCAAGGAGAATCCGGCAGATCTCAACACCAAAGCGCTTTCCAAAGAAAGACGTGAATACCTGATGAAACGCATTGGACTTCAAAGCAGCAACTTTGAGATGGAGGAGAATGCACCTTACCAGGGCAAGAAGAAACAATTAGTGAAATTGCTGGTGAACATGATCATGTCAAGCAACCACCTTCAAGGATGCGAAGCTGGTAAACGAGAACTTGATTTTTCTTCATGGAGTTTGACTCTTGCAATGGTGGTGATTTTTCTTTTGCTGACGCTGGTGGCTAGACTCTTTTTCAAGCTGACAGTGAAGATGGAAGAATTGGAGAAATACAAGGCAATATGAAAAACAGTCCGAGAAGCAGCACACCTTCAATGAGATCAAGATCCTTTTTGCTGCGAAATGAAAGAAGACCAACTTCCTGAAGAAGATGCAGAAGAAGAAGAACCAAACAACATGGACGAGGATGAGACAGTTTCAGAAAGTTCCTGGAATGGAGTTGGTCACACTTGATTCCTGTGGAAGAAGCGGATCGCAGCGAAGAAGCAGTTCTTCGCAGGCATCAAGTCATGCGAAACGATGCTGAACATGGAGATGCAAATGGTGAAGCAGATGTTCCAGACAGAGATGGAAATGATGAAGAAGATCATGGAGGTGATCAACCTGATGGAGAAGATGAAAGTTTTGAGGAGGAACCAGAATCTCCCAGATCGAGATATCAGAGATACCTTCGGTCAACAGTGGAGGAGGTTAGCGATGTGGGTGATTGGGCAAACATTCATTATGGCTTTGCGCGTGAAAGTGACGATCTTCCAGAAGTCAATGATCATGGAATTCCTACTTCAAGGTCAAGATCAAGAGGATCAGACAATGAGCCTCAACCGAAGACTATATGCCAAAACCTTTAGCAAAAGCAGTTGCATGAGGTGTTGCACAATCAGTGGCGATGGACGTGATCGAGGCAATTGAGAAGAGTGGATCAGGGCCACCTACGTCAATGGAACCCCCCATGCTTGGAACTATGAACGAGGCAAACTACTTCCTGAGCAGTGTGCCGATGGCCGATTTCTTCAGCATTATCCCTGTTCTTCGGGAACCTTTGGCGTTGGAGGATTATCGATGGGATCTACTTGGTCAAGGTAACGGTCCTGAGAACCTACTGGTGATCAATTGCAGAAACCTTTCAAGGGCAATCCCGACAATGGCAGACCCAATGGCACGACAACGACACCTTCGTCTTCTACGAAACCTTCAAAATTTGCTGATCAAATTCCAATCGGGCAAACGAGAGGATTGGATTGAAGCAGCAGAACGAGTTCAAGATTGGCTGAACTGATGGATCTACAGACTACTTTGAAGAAGCAGTCACAGAAGCTGGTAGTTCAATCTATGATGATGATGATGATGATGATGTACGACTACGACGATGATGATGCTGGCGACTGTGGCGATCGACCTCAACGTGGACGAGTCGCGGATGGTGGCGCTGGCGCTGGTGAGATTCTTCAAGCGCTGCGGATGGAGCGAGTGCTGCGGGCTGATGGATGTATAGAAAATAGATAGATGCCAATAGATGCGAAACGAAGAGTTAAGAAGAGCTCTGAGGCATCAACAGTAGAAACCCAAAGACATGCTGATGTAAAGGCCAAAGTGTGTGAATATCACAAACGTTGGAGGTGGGGTGACAAATTTTAGCAAAGATCACATCACCTCATGTAACAGCATGTCAACAGTTGTGGATTGTACTGCAGTGGCTCTAAACCAGAGGAAAAGGTTTTGCAGTGCTGTGGCAGTTTTGGTCATGCTAGACCGATGTTGTGCTTGCTTCTGTCCTTTTTTGCGGTTTGGTGTTGCAACTTCCGCCCAGGAACTCACCCTGCTTCATTCTGCAGCTCAAGAGATGCCTGAGAAGGAACACCCAGATATTCCTTCATCTGCAAGTATGACTTTGCTTGTGAAGTAATGATCATGCAGGTAATGTTTCTTTATTCTGGAACGCTTCGAAAGGGTTAACGTTTGTAGAGTGGGGAACGGTAGTACACATTACGTCTTACCGCCCGCGGTGTTTCTTCTTTATATAATTCGGGTCCGCTGGAGACAGGGCAGCCTGTGCTCTGTGCTCGGGGGGCACTGAGGATATGGCACAGTGAAGTAGGCCACAACCTGTGCTCATGAGATGTTGAAGTACTTCGCAGTCAAAACTGTCTTTGATTGCATCGGCATTTTCCTGACATGCGACATGTCTTTAAATTTGTTGTCTTGTCATCAGGTACTGTAAGTGTCAATGGTGATGTTTGAGATGTTTCTTGCGCAGGGATGAAAAGTGTATTTTTACAGCCATAGTTTCGCGGAACCGTGTTAGTTAGTTATTTCTATGTTCTGCCCGATTTGAGAGTGACATGCTTTGTCCCCAAGGCTTCGGAAGATTGGGAATGAAAATGAGGTCATGTTTACCTTCGAAAGCTCGATTCTTGAGAACAACATGTTTTGAACATATGGACCTGGGATGTACCTGGGATGTACCTGGGTGATATGATATGCATACAAGCGCGAGACCCAACATTGATCGATTTTGAACAGAGCCGCGTTTCTTTTGATGATTGAATTTCCGATGGGCAAAGATTTGGGAACTGATAAATTTGGAAGCACATGCAGTCAAAACACAACAACATATTGCAAATATTGCATATCAAATCAATTTTTAGCAAGAAACTTTTTGAGCGCACCATTCTTCAGGAAAAGACCGTCAGCTTGATTTCGCCTGTTATCCATAGTGCCACTGAAAACTCTGTTTCAGACATCACAGTTTTGAAGAAATAGCTGAGAGGCTGAGAGGGAGGTGGTTGTATGACAGGATTTTTGGTACGAACAGGCGCCGAGCTGTGTTTCGCAAGAGCGAGCGTGTTGAGAAGGAATTGCGCGCAACACTTTGTTGTTTGTCTTCTTGTGTGTTCAGCATGCGTATCGGCGCCCGTGTTGTGGGTCATGGTGGGATGGGCTTTTGGAACTGGGACTGGGGTTGGGTGCACAAGCATGTTGCTGCATTGGTGTTTTTTGTTTTCTATGGAGCAGATTTGCCAAACACATTGCGCTGGCTGTTCTAGGGCTGCGACAACCCGGTTTCCTATTTTTTGATGCGTCATGATCTCTTCAGATTCGCGTCTTAGAAGTGAGTTGTGTGACTCGCAGTGACCATGAACTTTGTGTCAGGACAAGGGCCTGCCATGGGATGATGCTGAGGATTTTGTTTTGAAACTTGCAGAGGCAAGGGCTTTCCAAGGGCCTGTTCAACATCTGATGATGTTTGTGCAGCATGCATGTCCAATGTATGCGAACACATCCATCCATCCATCCATCCACCCATACGGGTGGAATGTTGGGTGAAGGCTAAGAGGGGGTGCAGTGATTCGATAGCATCAGGTAGCATCATTCAGAATTCGGCTTCAGACTTGGTCCTTTCAGTGATGGCCCTTAGCGTGTTTTCACGTTAGACCCGTTGAAAGCAAAATTGTGTCAAAATGACGAATTTGTTTCGAACAAAACAGGTTGCCGTGTGAGCAGTTGCCTGATGTGCTCAGTTTTGGTTCATTGAGGAAAATGTCAAGTCACTGGTTGCCATTTTCTTACAGTTTGGATGAGGAATGCGTTTGATGAGCGGTACGAAATTCTGCATGGAGCAGTTACAGAAGTCAAAGACGTACGAAGCCAAGATTCTGACATATAGAAATGTGCGGAACCAAAGCAACATTCGACGTATCCAGTCCAGTGCAGCCGGGCCCATGTCAGGCTTGCCACTCTCTTCAAGATTCGCACAGGGTGCAGAGGCAAAGCATGATAATATGCACTGGTCTGTAATATCGACCAAAACATTCACTTGCCTTTGAACGGAACAGACCATGCTTGTGTCCACATGGTGTTCGCCATGTTCACTCACAGTAGTCAATAAACTCTCGGCATCAGGTTGGCGCAAAGGTGCCACAATTTAATTTGCAAGATTCTTTGGAAAATGAAAACACAACAGTACATGCCGGCACATATCAAAAATTAAAGGACCGGATAACCCCACAAGTCAACTTCTTCCAATAGTGAGCTTCAAAGGTTGTAGCGGGGACGGGGAAGGAAGGAAAGACAAAGGAGGTGGTGAAGGATCGAGAAGTTAAAGCAGTTGTGTGTGACAAAGTGGCATGTGAAAGACAGCGTGTGACAAAGCAAGAAGGTATGTGAAAAGATAGTATGCGTGTACGTATGTACGTATGTACGTATGTACGTATGTACGTATGTACGTACGTACGTACGTACGTACGTGTGTATGTATGTATGTATGCATGTATGTGTGTGTGTGTGACAAAGTTGTGTGTGAAAGATGGTGTGTGTGAAAGTGACGTGAGCGCGCGACAGTGCAGACATATTTTTTTCCGCCAGCACTGCAATGTCATCTGCCCTGCATGCGGCATCACTGCGGACCTGGAATGGGCTGAATGAGGTGTTCCATGATCTTCTGTGCTCCGTGTGGTTGACAAAGTTGTGTGTGAAAGTTGTGTGTGAAAGATGGTGTGTGACAAAGTTGTGTTGTGTGTGACAGGCGGGCGGCGGGAGGAAGAGGAGGACGAGGAGGACGAGGAGTGTCTAACAAAGTTGAAAGATGGTGTGTGACAAAATGGTGTGTGAAAGAGGGTATGTGAAAGATGGTGTGTGACAAAGTTGCGTGTGAAAGTTGTGTGTGCAAAAAGGTATGTGAAAGATGGTGGTTGACAAAGTTGTGTGTGAAAGTTGTATGTGAAAGATGCTGTGTGACAAAGTTGTGTTGTGTGTGACAGGCGGGCGGCGGGAGGAAGAGGAGGACGAGGAGTGTCATGAGTGCCACGCCTGCCACGCAAAACCAAGGTCAATGTGAGATGGTGCCACGCCTGCCACGTGAAACGAAGGTGGATGTCACCAAGTGCCACGCCTGCCACGCAAAGTGCCGCAGCGTCACGCGCGACTAAACCGGGCCAGTGCCATGAATGCCACGCCTGCCACGCAAAACCAAGGTGAATGTGAGGAGATGCCACGCCTGCCACATGAAACGAAGGTGGATGTCACCAAGTGCCACGCCTGCCACGTAAAGTGCCGCGGCGTCACGCGCGACTAAATCGGGCCCAAGCGCGCCACCCAGTGCCATGAGTGCCACGCTTGCCACGCAAAACCAAGGTGAATGTGAGAAGATGCCACGCCTGCCACGTGAAACGAAGGTGGATGTGACCAAGTGCCACGCCTGCCACGCAAAGTGCCGCAGCGTCACGCGCGACTAAACCGGGCCAGTGCCATGATTGCCACGCCTGCCACGCAAAACCAAGGTGAATGTGAGAAGATGCCACGCCTGCCACATGAAACGAAGGTGGATGTCACCAAGTGCCACGCCTGCCACGCAAAGTGCCGCGGCGTCATGCGCGACTAAATCGGGCCCAAGCGCGCCACCCAGTGCCATGAGTGCCACGCTTGCCACGCAAAACCAAGGTGAATGTGAGAAGATACCACGCCTGCCACGTGAAACGAAGGTGGATGTGACCAAGTGCCACGCCTGCCACGCAAAGTGCCGCGGCGTCACGCGCGACTAAATCGGGCCCAAGCGCGCCACCCAGTGCCATGATTGCCACGCCTGCCACGCAAAACCAAGGTGGATGTGAGATTGTGCCACGCCTGCCACATGAAACGAAGGTGGATGTCACCAAGTGCCACGCCTGCCACGCAAAGTGCCGCCGCGTCACGCGCGACTTAACCGGGCCCAAGGGCGCCACCCAGTGCCATGAATGCCACGCCTGCCACGCAAAACCAAGGTGAATGTGAGATTGTGCCACGCCTGCCACGTGAAACGAAGGTGGATGTCACCAAGTGCCACGCCTGCCACGCAAAGTGCCGCGGCCAGTGCCATGAATGCCACGCCTGCCACGCAAAACCAAGGTGGATGTGAGATTGCGCCACGCCTGCCACGTGAAACGAAGGTGGATGTCACCCAGTGCCACGCCTGCCACGCAAAGTGCCGCGGCGTCACGCGCAACTAAATCGGGCCCAAGCGCACCACTCAGTGCCATGAGTGCGGCGTCACGCGCGACTAAATCGGGCCCAAGCGCGCCACCCAGTGCCATGAGTGCCACGCCTGCCAAGAAAACCGAGGTGGATGTAAGATTGTGCCACGCCTGCCACGTGAAACGAAGGTGGATGTCACAAAGTGCCACACCTGCCACACCAAGTGCCGCGGCGTCACGCGCGACTAAATCGGGCCCAAGCGCGCCACTCAGTGCCATGAGTGCGGCGTCACGCGCGACTAAATCGGGCCCAAGCGCGCCACCCAGTGCCATGAGTGCCACGCCTGCCACGCAAAACCAAGCCGGATGGTGAGATTGTGCCACGCCTGCCACGCAAAGTGCCGCGGCGTCACGCGCGACTAAACCGGGCCCAAGGGCGCCACCCAGTGCCATGAGTGCCACGCCTGCCACGCAAAACCAAGGTGGATGTGAGATTGTGCCACGCCTGCTACCTGAAACGAAGGTGGATGTCACCAAGTGCCACGCCTGCCACGCAGAGTGCCGCGGCGTCACGCGCGACTAAATCGGGCCCAAGCGCGCCACTCAGTGCCATGAGTGCCACGCCTGCCACGCGAAACGAAGGTGGATGTGAGATTGTGCCACGCCTGCCACGCAAAACGTGCCACGCTTGCCACGCAAAACTACAAAGTTGTGTGTGAAGTGATTGTGTGGGACAAAGTTGTGTGTGAGGTTATTCTGTGTGAAAGATGGTGTGTGACAAAGTTGTGTGTGAAAGATGGTGTGTGACAAAGTTGTGTGTGAAAGATGGTGTGTGACAAAGTTGTGTGTGAAAGATAGTGGTTGACAAAGTTGTATGTGAAAGATGGTGTGTGAAAAAGTTGTGTGCGAAAGATGGTGGTTGACAAAGTTGTGTGTGAAAGATGGTGTGTGAAAAAGTTGTGTGCGAAAGATGGTGGTTGACAAAGTTGTGTGTGAAAGATGGTGTGTGACAGATGGTGGTTGACAAAGTTGTGTGTGAAAGATGGTGTGTGACAAAGTTGTGTGTGAAAGATGGTGGTTGACAAAGTTGTATGTGAAAGATGGTGTGAAAGATGGTGTGTGGAGGAGGCGGGAGGAGGCGGGAGGAGGAGGAGGCACCCGGGATACAGAACCAAAAACAAGAACCCCACACAAAGTTGTGGGGAACAAATCCTCTCATCCAGATGTCAGACCTCGGAACTGCGCAGCTTGCGCGCATTTGTAAGTGCCGCTGCAAGAACCACGTCTGGCAATCAAAAAGTGACGCAGGAACTTTGAGGAAGAATCCTTTGAACGGAAATGTAAACAAATCCTGATTGGGGCAGATACAGGGTGAGGGCTGAGTCCATTTGTCACTGACTGTTCTTGATAAAGATCGGACGGGTTGATGCAAAGGAATTCATCCCTCAGCAGGTGCTGCATGTTCTCATCATGGACGACGGCTATTACGGTGAATCTAGTTGCAAGGCTTAGGGCCTGTTTTCATGATCTCTTTTTCTGCCCGCCGTGCAGGTTGTTGGGAATGGTCCTTGGATTTGGCAATCACCTCAATGCTGCGCCCCAAGTTAAGTCACGGAGTTTGGTTGCATGGACCGACATTCTGTTCGGTTTTCTTCGCCAAGATTGTGGCAGGCAAAACAAACTTGTGTGGGCGGGCTACCGTTCCTTATTTTGTAGTAGGGTGTGAAGAGTGAGAAGGGGGAAGGGTGAGATGCAAACTTTCAAGTTGACTTGCACGCGCAATTGATGCTAGGCTACGCTGCAGTCGGGGTGAGGTTGTGTGGGGCGGTTCGTCCAAAACCTGTGCAAGGTAATCGGAAAGCATGGATCATCGGTTACTTGACTAACAAAGGTTCGATCTTCCCGTTCAACAACATGAAAGCTGATAATATATCAGGCCGGTCCCTCTACTCATAAAAGGACAAGATTGCAGGAAAGAGACTGCGCAAAGACGCGTGAACAATTGTGTGCAAAAGGCCCGGTTGTTGAAAAAGAGCAAACTAGCAGATATAACCAGGGAAAAAGAGATGTCTGAAAAGTGACACTCATAAATATGATCATGGTTTTCTGCTGAACTCTTGGGTGCCAATTTTGTTAGTCTGGCTTCTCCGCTGGCTCAAAAGGCTTTTGTGGCTTTTGCAGGCTTTTGCGACTTTTATTTTGGAATTTTCTTGCCTCCTTGGTCCTGGGTGTTTTGGGCTTTTGCTATTTTCCCCACATCTTTGTGCGGGGTTCTTGTTTTTGATTCTGTATCCCGCTCCTCCTCCTCCTGCTCCTCCTCGTCCTCCTCCCGCTCCGCCGCCTCCCTGTCACACACACACACACAAATTTGTCACACACCATCTGTCACACACAACTTTGTCACACACCATCTTTCACACACAACTTTGTCACACACCATCTTTCACACACAGCTTTGTCACACCCCTCTTTGTCACACACCATCTTTCACACACAACTTTGTCACACACCTCTTTGTCACACACCATCTTTTACACACAACTTTGTCACACACCATCTTTCACACACCATCTTTCACACAACTTTGTCACACATGCAACTTTGTCACACACGTCTTTGTCACACACGATCTTCCACACACAGCTTTGTCACACACCTCTTTGTCACACACGATCTTTCACACTCAACTTTGTCACACGCCATCTGGCACTTTGCGTGGCAGGGGGTCTAGTGGCGCGCTTGGTCGCCGTTAGTCGCCCGTGACGCCGCGGCACTTTGCGTGGCAGGCGTGGCGCTTTAAGACATCCACCTTCGTTTCACGTGGCAGGCGTGGCACTTGGCGACATCCACCTTCGTTTGGCGTGGCAGGCGTGGCATTGCCATACGCCATCTTGCACTTGGCGCGGCACTTGCGGCACTGGGCTGGGTCTGGTGGCGCGCTTGGTCTCGGTTATAGTCGCTGGGCGCCGCGGCCCTTTGCGTGGTAGGTGTGACACTTGGCCACATCATCGTTCCATTTGCGTGGCAGGCGTGGCGCTTGTGGCACTGGGCTGGCTCTGGTGGCGCGCTTGTTCGCCGTTCGTCGCGCGTGACGCCGCGGCACTTTGCGTGGCAGGCGCGGCAGTTGGTGACATTGGCGTTCCATTTGCGTGGTAGGCGTGGCACTTGGCGACATCTACCTGCGTTTGGCGTGGCAGTCGTGGCCCTTGGGGCACTGGGCTGGCTCTGGTGCTGACCAAGCCAGTCGAGAGCACCTACCGAAGTACAGAAGACGACGTTTCCAACATAAGATGAAGTGCATCCACCGAAGTACACAAGACGTGTCCAACATAACATGAAGTGCATCCACCGAAGTACAGAAGACGTGTCCAACATAAGACGAAGTGCGTCCTCCGAAGTACAGAAGACGTGTCCAACGTAAGATGAAGTGCATCCACCGAACTACAGAAGACGTGTCCGACGTAACATGAAGTGCATCCGCCGGAAGTACAGAAGACGTGTCCAACGTAAGATGAAGCGCACCCACCGGAAGTACAGGAGACGCGTCCAACGTAAGATGAAGTGCGTCCTCCGGAAGTACAGAAGACGTGTCCAACGTAAAATGAAGTGCACCCACCGGAAGTACAGGAGACGTGTCCAACGTAAGATGAAGTGCATCCACCGAACTACAGAAGACGTGTCCGACGTAACATGAAGTGCATCCGCCGGAAGTACAGAAGACGTGTCCAACGTAAGATGAAGTGCACCCACCGGAAGTACAGGAGACGTGTCCAACGTAAGATGAAATGCGTCCTCCGAAGTACAGAAGACGTGTCCAACGTAAAATGAAGTGCACCCACCGGAAGTACAGGAGACGTGTCGAACGTAAGATGAAGTGCGTCCTCCGAAGTACAGAAGACGTGTCCAACGCAAGATGAAGTGTATCCACCGAAGTACAGAAGACGTGTCCAACGTAACATGAAGTGCATCCACCCGAAGTACAGAAGACGCGTCCAACGTAAGATGAAGTGTGTCCACCGAAGCAAAGAAGACGGGTCCAACGTAAGATGAAGTGCATCCACCGAAGTACAGAAGACGTGTCCAACGTAAGATGAAGTGCATCCACCAAGGTACAGAAGACGCGTCCAACATAACATGAAGTGCATCCACCGAAGTACAGAAGACGTGTCCAACATAAGACGAAGTGCGTCCTCCGAAGTACAGAAGACGTGTCCAACGTAGGATGAAGTGCATCCACCGAAGTACAGAAGACGTGTCCAACGTAAGATGAAGTACACCCACCGGAAGTACAGGAGACGTGTCCAACGTAAGATGAAATGCGTCCTCCGAAGTACAGAAGACGTGTCCAACATAAGACGAAGTGCGTCCTCCGAAGTAGAGAAGACGTGTCCAACGTAGGATGAAGTGCATCCACCGGAAGCACAGAAGACGTGTTCAACGCAAAATGAAGTGCACCCACCGAACTACAGAAGACGTGTCCGACGTAACATGAAGTGCATCCGCCGGAAGTACAGAAGACGTGTCCAACATAAGACGAAGTGCGTCCTCCGAAGTACAGAAGACGTGTCCAACGTAAGATGAAGTGCATCCACCGAAGTACAGAAGACGCGTCCAACGTAAGATGAAGTGCATCCACCGAAGTACAGAAGACGTGTCCAACCTAAGTCGAAGAAAACGAAGACCAAGAACGTTATAACCCCCCCACCCCCAACATATCACAACGCAAAAAAAAAACATTAAAAAAAAACGCAATAACACCTGGGCCGGTTTTTGGGCAGTAGGTAACAAAACTAGATGCCGTTTTTCATTCCACATTTTGCTACCCTTTACTTGTAACTTGGAACCTTTACTTGAAACCTTTACTTTAGACCATCGTACTGATCCGTGATACAGAGATGCAGCATCACTTTGAACCTTGCGACACTCCCTGAAACTATTCTGCTTGAACGTGCCCGGGTTTGCAGCATCCTGCAACTATATTTTGAACCCCCCCAGATCTTTGGAGATTCCATTGTGGACAGCTTGGAACTTCTGGAAACTATTGGGAAACTTCAGTACCTTCCTAAACTTATATAGCTAGTTTTTCTTGCATCGTTCCCTTCACAGCAAAATCTCGCAAATTCATTGCAAACCTATCGCAAACTTCTGGGCGCAGTGCCTGGAATCTACACTGGGCCCCGAGCTGTTCGTGAAAAGATTGAACAAATTCTGTGCATGAAGCAATGCAGAGCCAAGGCCGGGACAGCTCGTGGTCGCGCTGATGGCTTCTCTGTTGAGGCGTTTTGTGAGTTCTTGCAATGCTGCTGTTCATCTGGTCCGCGAACTCATTACTGGAGTCCTAGCTACGCCCTGGTCGCAAACTTGATTTTTGAGTATCTTTGTTTGAATGTTTGTGCCCTAGTATTCTTGTATCCATTCCCTTGCATGTGAGAAAGGTGCTGCCCCAAATGCGTGCTCTCAAGGGTCAGGCATGGCATGGTGCTTGGATTGAGTGTCGCAAGATGTTCCAAGTGCATCCAAGTACTATGTCAGAAAAAATATATAAGTGCTGTTCAGATCGGTTTAAGCTACCGTGCTGTACTCCTCTGCTTGTAGGAGACCAGGGTACAAGCAGCATTTATTGTAACAGGTGCAGGAGTTGGCAGTTGGCGATTCCGAGTACGTACCGGGTCTTCATCTAAAGTAAGTTCCAACGTGCTCTTTGCCGCAATAGTTGCGATCAAGCACGTGATTGTGAACAGATGTGGGTAGGCAAGTTCCTCCAGCACTACTCTGCTTGATTTCTTGGTGGCACACTCAGCTGCTCTTTGGTTTCACTCCAGGCTTCTTGCAACCCTGAGCAGGTCCGCCAAGCTGAGAAATCCGAACCCGGTGAGCTTGCAAACTTGTTTGGAGAGGTTGGAGAGGCAGCATCACCGTGTTGATAGTGAAGCATGGTTGAACGGTGTTGAATGGTTAACGATGTTGAATGTCATTTTGATTTCTTGGGCCAAGCGGAAAAGAGAGCGCAAACCGTCCTCATGAAACAAGGTCTTGACATTCTCGCGGTCCTGGCTCTCTAGACCTGATTCCAACGAACTGAAATTGGCGACATCGCCTATCAACCGGCAAGAACGAAAACGTTGAACAGTTGCATATGGTTAAACAATGGAAGGAATAAACGGACTGGAACAGTACAGTAGCTTAGGAAAGGGTCAAAATCCAGGCAGCAAACCGATCTGACAAGCTGTTCTGCACATGAAACCTAGAAATTTTAGCCATGTATTCTGGTAATTTGGTTTGCAACCTTTCTTGCCTCGCAGTGAGTGACACGGAATAGGGTTCGAAACCTACATCCGACAACGACCTATGAAAGTGTGGTCCCCGAATTCTACCCAGGACTGGTTCCTTGTAGATTGCTGCAGTGGGCTTACAGAGTAGGATCCAAAATGCGTTCAAATCTTTTTGTTAAACAATAGTTTTAATCACGTGTTTTTAGTTCATTTGATTTAACTTGGTACGTCATTTATACATATATGTCTGTGTATATATATATACACACAATTATACACATACACACACATCATATAATTTAGATTTAAACATGTCTTGATTTATATTTGCCGCTACTTGCCTTAGAAGGAGCACTGATCTAGGGCCTAGGGCCTATTTTAGAAGAATTTGAGCATTGCCCGCTGCTGTGCTGCAGCTGGGGCGCAGTTTTACCTTGGGAGGCCACGCTGGTGCAAAAGGCGTGCCGGCACAAGCTATCTGACCTGTCTCACGAGCTGAACGCTTACTGTTCCCAGGCCAGTGAACTCAGTGGACACGGTAAATCTCAGTATGTCTCTCAACCAGTTTGTTGTTTCAACCAGCATGCTCTGCAGATAGGCTAGCGAGCTCGCCAGGCGCTGGAATTGAATTCTTCCTTCAGGAACAACATGGAACAACAGAATCAGTGCAACACACACACAATGATTGCTATCAATGCCATCGGCGCCTTTGGCTATCTGCTCAGACAAAAACTTGTATTCCGCGGTTGCACGATGAGGGAAACACAGCAGGGAAGCAGCGAAGCCGTTGTGCCTTTTTCACACCTTTTGACAGAGATGTGTTTCAAGCAGTTTTGGGGCAGCGAAATTTCAACTGTCAAGAACAGAAGGAACGCCTTGATATTTTCATTTTTTCATTGCGCGACAAGGTGTTTGCAATTTCCAGAGATGTGAGACAACAAATTGACGTACTTGCGAGATCTTGCGAGAATTGCATTTGCAGGGCAGCATCTTCCGGGGACGCAGATTTGGTGGCCCGTGCCAAAAGAACCCAGGTGCTGTCTTGGAAGACAGAGTTTTGGCAGGTGATGGCGTAGAAAGATTGGGTTCATGGATCAAACACTGGGTGGCGCTGAAATGTCATGTGAGTCATGTGCTTATATGTCGTGCTTTGGAATTTGCCAATTTGAATGCAGGCCCGAATCCGGGAGTTGGTCTGAGAGCTCAGATTTTCCGTTTTGAGCCAAGCAAGTGGGAAACAAACTTCACTTTCCACGTAAGATTTGGTGTTTTGCGGTCTTTCGCCTGGATTCGCTTTGTGTTGACATGTGAACTTTGCCGGCATCCCCAGACGACCCAGCGACCGAGGAAGCTTTGCAGCAATTGTTCGTGGAAGCAGAAGAAGACTACAAGAACATGTGCGCTTGAAGCTGAATGCCACCGAATGCCACTGAATGATGCTGCATGATTTACTGAAAGAGTCTGAATTACGGGCTACATGTTTTTGAGCAGTCAGTGCTTGCAACATCTGGCAAATGGTAAGAGCTTGCAATTGCTATTGAAATTGTTTGCAATTTCTTTTTGGTATGTCAAACGGTGTAGTGCAGCAGCGTGCGTTTTTGCAAAAAAGACAATGCAAAATTTAAAGTCCTTGTCAGGTGTAGAGCGTAGAGGAACTTGGCCAAGTTTTGTGAAGCAACCGCCCAGGTCTGGTTTCACGAGGGCGGTGGGAAGAAGCTGAAACCTTGGCAATTTCACAAGATCCTGATTTCATCATTCAGCAAGCAGGGAATAACAGAGCCACCAACAGAGCAACTGACAGAGCCACGGCGACTAGGAGAGTAGGAGAGTAACTAACAGACCGACTGAAAGAGAGACTGACAGAGCAACAAACACAGCGACTGACAGAGCCACGAGAAGAGCGACTAAGAGAGCGACTAACAGAGCGACTAAGAGAGACTGAGAGAGAGAGAGAGAGAGAGAGAGCGAGAGAGAGAGAGAGACTGACAGAGCCGAGCCATGAACAGGGCAACTGACAGAGCCAGGAGCAGAGCGACTACGCAACCAACAAAGCAACTAGAGAGAGAGAGAGAGAGATATATATATATAATATAGAGACTAACAGGGCGACTGACAGAACCACTAGCACAGCAACTAAAAGAGCGACTAGCAAACAGAACGATTTTCAGAGAGACTAAGAGAGCCACGAACAGAGCGACTGATAGCGACTGACAGAGCCACGAACAGAGCGATTCAGAGAGTGACTAGCAGAGAAGCTAGGAGCGACTGACAGAGCGACTAAAAGAGAGACTTGCCACGAAAAGAGCCACTAACAGAGCAGGTATAGCAGAGGGACTATACCCGGGCGAGTGACAAATAAGTGCATCACTCTCAGAGCGAATGAGAAAGCGACTGACACAGCGTCGAGCAGAGCGACTAACAGAGCAACTAAGATGACTATAATTAAGAGAGATTAAGCGAGCCATTCATTACAGATAATACCAGCACGTTGAACAAAGCAACCAACAGAGGGACTGAGAGCGAGAGCGACTGTGGGACTCTAAGAGAGTGACTGACAGAGCGTTGAGCAGAGGGAGCAAGAAAGCCATTAACAGCGCATAGAACAAAGCAACCAACAGAGGGACTGACAGAGGGAGCGACTGACAGAGCCACGAGCAGAGCGACTAACAGAACGACTAGGACATCCTTTGACAGAGCCACCAGCAGAAGGACTAACAGAGCGACAAACAGAGCGACCAACAAAGTGACTAGCAGAGCGGCTATCAGAGCCACGAACAGAGCGAGCAACGTATGGACTAACCGACCAGAGCGACTAGCAGAGCTTTGAACAGAGCTCCTGAGCGACCCAAAGAGCCATGAGCTAACAGAGCGACTGCGACTGAGAGAGCGACGAACAAAGCGTCGAACAAAGCGTCGAAAAGAGCCACTGGCAGAGGGACAAACAGAGCGACAAGCAGAGCAACTCACAAGGTGACTAGCAGAGTGACTAAGAAAGCAACTAACTAACATTGTGACTAGCTGCTTCCCTCTTTGTTGTGATGATCTATCATCATCACACAGATCTTTAAGGCCGCGGCCCCCCGATGAATTTTTTGGCTATTGGCATGCTTTTTTTCAGGCAGGTCCGACGCCGCCGCAAGCAGAGAATATTTGAGCAGCCAAGAGGTTAACCGTATATAAATATTGTAATATAATGTAATATAATTGAATTTAATATAATATAATATTATATTATATTATAATATATATATGTGTTGTGTGTGTGTTAGTTTGGGGGAGGTGCAAAGTGCAGGTCCCAACCGGTTCACCACCTCACGAAATGTGGCTGACAAAAGCGCTATAGGCGACTTTTCTGCGGAAGCCTCAGCATGTCTCGCGAGAGTTCCCTCCCTTAAGCCACAGATGTAAGGGAGGCAAAAGGAATTGAAGTATGAAATGCCATTTGTGTTATACGCAAATCACACTGGTGAAAAAGTGAAGGGTAAAATTAAATTAGGTGAAAGATCCCCTCACACGTGCATCGGCTAAATCGCCAATTCGACATGCTCCTGGTGGGGCTGAGGCTCGAGCATCGCCTTGAAAGTTGTAGCCTTCTTCGCCAATGTGTTTTGTACACAGGCGGCAGGCTTGGCACCCATAGATGGTCTGTTGCCCATCTGTTCTTCCAAAAACGCAGTTCAGGTCAGCGTGCCATATGTTGCTGTGAGGGAGGATGTAGACCTCCGTGTTCTCCAGCATGCGCACGAAGTCAGAGCGCAGGTGCTCGCACTTGGCCTTCCAAAGGCGAGCCTCATCTCGGGCGTCGATCGTCAGCTGTTGCTTCTTCATGAGCTCGGCCTCCAAAGACTTTCGATATTCTCGAAGAGTCATCACCTCCTCATACATGGCGCGGAAGGTCGCCTCATCTTCCGGGGTCATGACCGTTCGTGTGACCACACTGGAAGGGGCTGTCTCTTCCTCTGGTTCAGCTTGATCTCCTTGATGTTGATGTCGTCGATGTAGCATCACCCAGCCAAAGAGCAACATCATGATCGTCGTGAAGACCATGAAGAGGACCTTGAAGGTGTCCAGGAAGTAGTGCTCGGTCAGGGTCTGCTCATTCACATTGGGCATCTCTGTTTCGGTGTTGTTGGTCTTGTTGTCATAGTCCAGGGCGTTCACCACGTTCAGCAGGCCAGCGAACATTGCGTGCATCGCCCTTCCAGGCTTCTTGATGGCGTACATCTCAGCTCCTTTCTTGCGCTCGTTGGCCGTCTTGCGCTTGGCAGCTTGGAAGGTCAGGTCGGACTTCAAACGGGTTTGATGACTTCGAAGACGATCTGCCAAAAGTTGGGCTGCCGACTCCTTCGTCAAGCCATCTGCATACTGCAGCTCAGAGCTAACCCATGAAGTGAGGGCTCCACAACACTTCAACTTGTCCTGGGTGACCAAAACCTCAATTGTGGTTCTTTTGTCAGCTCCTGTCCCAGCTTGCACCTCCTCCTTGATCAGCAGGTCATAGAGGGCCTTGGCGTCGACCACCAAGCGAGGTGCATTGAGAAGCTTGGCTGTGTTCACATCATCCAGAACCAACCATGGGGACCAAATGAGGTTCCAAAACGTAGATGCAAAAAGAAGTGCATCTGCTGCTTCTGAAGCGCCTTGGCTCTCAGCGCTCAAAGTTGAGCGTGCCACTCGTGGCAATTTCCAACTTCTCCAGTCCAACACATTGTACCATCCTTCTTCGCCTTCTGCAACCTTTTTGTTCACCTTGTAAGGTCCTTCTTGTCCCCCAAGTAGCGGTATTCCAATCCAACATCTGCATTGGTTTTCGCCATCCTCAGGGTTTTGTTTGCTGAATTCAGCGTCTTGATTGTGGCCTTGGTCACATCGCCAGCCAGCATAGAGACCTGTGATTGCAAATGCGGTGAGGACTGTGTTGCAGGCCATTGCATTGCTCCAATCAACCCACGTAGTTGTGTCCGCTCACTTTCGGTCACTGGAAGATCTTCTTGATTCTTGCGCTCCTTGGAGATGCTGATAGGCTTTTGCTTGTGCAGGTACTTCTCCTGGTGGAGTCGCCAGTGGTTGTTGTTGACCTTGTCCACCTGGCAGCCGCAATATTCAAGATGATCTCCATTCAGCCATTCACGAAAGCTGAAGACTTCCTTAAGGGACTTCTGGAGCTGCGTGGCGTGCTCATTGTTGGGCATCAGGCACCCAAACAAATCATCCACATGCATGCCAAACATGCCAATCAGTTGCGGTTCCACTCCAAGTGCATGAGCTTGATGAGGATCCTGATCGAAGGCCAGAAACAGGCAGGCATCCAAAGGGTGTTGAATGATGCTGCCCTTGCCAATCTTCAGGATGCGCTCGGTGGCTTCCTCATACCAGGCCCGTGGGGCATCACAAAGGCCATAGATGGGTTTCACCAACTTCATCAACTTTCCGCTGTCTCGCTCAATCCCCAAGATGGTTTCAGCATCTTTGGGAAGGCGCACCCATATCTCACGCGTCCCATCAGCCTTGAAACCCTTGCCTTGCAGGAAGGCTGTGCTCACGTCACTTGTGAACGGCTCCATGCCCAGCATAGTTGCCACTGTAAGGATCAATCCCCTTGACAGTCTGGTCAATGTAGGGCTCGTTGTTGACAAAGATCCATTCAGGGCATCTGGGTCACGAAAACCTTGAACAACTAATCTGGCCTTTGCCCTGGGAGAGCCATCTGGGTTCTTCTTCCAGCCAAGGATGAACTTCGCCTTCAGGATGCGGTCTTCTGGAACTCCTTGACCTTGGTCAAATTGCCAGACGGAGTTGTCAAAGAAAGACTGCAGCTCCTTCATCTTTGCCTCCCTGCAGGCCATCCTGTCCTCAAGGCTCATGTAGCGCTCATTGAGAGGCTGGTTGCTAGGCTCCTGGGCATAGCACTGCTCCAAGTTCTGCTGAAAGAGCTCCTTTGCTTGCTTCCGCCAAGCTGGGAGGATCTTGAAGCGCGTGTAGCCAGTCCATAGGTTGTTGGCATACTTCTTCTTCAGGTTGCCACTCTTCCACTTTTCACGGAACAGACAGTTCCCCATACTCACCACCTTCTTCTTGTCCAGGAAGTGCAATGGCACAGGGCAGGTGTCCTCGTCAGGGATGTAGTCCTGCTGTCTGGGGGCATAGTGACGTCGGGTCAGGTAGTTGCCGTTGAGCTCCCAGGCATCCATCACACTGTCGTCAAGGACCATGTGGCCATGTTCATGTTTCCATCCTCTGGGCAACTTGGTCTTCTCATTGAGATCCACCGTGAAGGAGAGTTGGCCATCTTCTTCATCATGTAGAGGTCGTTCTGAATAGGGTGTCACTCTGGGCAAAGTCCGTGGAGCAGGGCCATACGTTCGTGGCAGGACCATTGCCTCTTGTTGTTCATGTCGTCGTCGTTGTTGTTCAAAAGTCGGTCGGCCAGCTTGTGGAGGTACTTGAGAAGGTTGTGCTGGTTGAGCAGGTTGTGGGGCTTGTTGAGGTTGTGCAGGAAGAGGTTGATCTTCAGGAAGTAGTGCAGGAGGTGGTAGTCGTCCATGTGGTGTAGCTTGTTGGCCTGGTGGTTCTTCCATCGGTTCCATCACGCTACCAGCAGGTGTTGGCAGCAGGGTTTGTTGATCTTGTCCATCATCCATGGGTTCGGCCAAAATGGCCTGTGTTACTGCATTGTCTGAAGGGCCTCCACCATCAGCTCCTCGCATGTCATCATCGTCGGCGATGCTCGGGCTCGGAGACCTGATGTCGGTCCTCTGAAAGGGGCAGTAGGATCATCATCTGGTCCACCATCGCCACCAGAAGTGGGTCCACCTCCGCTAAAGAGCTGTCGCATCTCCCCATCTGAATCGCTGGTCTGCAAGCCAGCGTCCACCACAAAGGTTGTTGTCCCAGTCCAGCTGTAGTGCATCCTCCGGTCGGCATCAGGGCCATTCCATTCATCTCCCACCACCAAAGTCTCGGGATTGGGTCCACCTCTGCGGATGTGGGTGACGCGCTCATTGGTGAACAGGTGGAAGGGAACCTCGTCGTAGAGCAGGTCCGGCACGAAGAGTTGTTGTCGGCCTTGGTTGTGGATCCTGGTCCAGGTTCTTCCATCATCACATAGCTTGCCATCGATCTTGCAAGGGCTCGGCCTCAAAGTCGCCCATCTCGTGGTCAAGCTCCTCTGCTTCATCTTCTGATGCCACTTCTTCTCGCTTGCGCTTGTTGGACTTTGGCAGGTCGATGTAGTGCGTCACACCGCGATTGCGGACTTTCATCAAGGCCAGCTTTGCACGGTCGATGGAGTCCATGGCTCTGGATTCATCGTTCTCAGGATGCATTGCTGGACGAACATGTTCTGGGGCTGCACGAAGAAGGGTTGTGCCATGAGCCAGCCAGTAGATGTCGGCATGGGGTCCAGCTTCTGAGGTTTCCTTCATCACCACCACTGCGGGTCCACGCCATCGAAGCTTGGGGCCGTTTGCAGGTCCATCTCTCCAGTAGTAGCATCTGTCGCCTGAATTGAGGACCAAAGGCTGACCCACAAACTTCCGGAGAAGAGCTCTGCGAAGTCGAGCATCGATGTTGGCCTCGGTGATGGCCTTGGCAGCTGATGCTTGCAGTTCCAACTTCTCCTTGAAGGCTTCCGTGGGATCCAAGTGGATTGGGGTGATCTGCTCCTCCATCAGCAAGCCAGGTATGTGGGGTGTATATCCCATGGCCCACTGCACCGGGGAGTACCCGGAGACATTCGGCATCCTGTTGACCTGAGGAATCACGTAGCACAGTGCTGTGATCATCGCCTCAGGGGTCTGAGCAATGGCAGGGTTGTCCGTGAGGAAGGCAGTCAGTGCTCGTCGAACAACTTGATGCCGTCGCTCCAAGATAGCCAAACGGGTGTGGCTTTCTCCAGGGCTGATCTTGAGCTCCACTCCTTGCTCAGTGCACCATTGTCGCATGCCGTCTGAACACCAGGCTCGATGCTCGTCC